GGTATTTCCAAGTGGTCATCCATCTAGGCACTGACCAGGCTTGTCGTTGCTTAACTTCAGTGATCGTACGGGAATCGGTGTTTCAACGTGATGTGGCCATAAACCAAATGGAGATTATGAGAATAATGTCGCAAAGTCAATGGTTTACATTAGATTTGAAGATAGGTTAATGTTGGTCGTTTGTATTTGAGTCAGTAAACCTTTACTTGGTAGGTGGCCTATTTGGAGAGGACTCTTGCCCTCTGCAGGGGATGCAGTCGGCGTATTTTAAGCCCCATCGACAGAGCCGGTCTATATGGAATAGTTTTCAACTATGAACCTCTTGACCATGATACGATATACTAGACACTAAAGCTATAATCGTTGAAAAAGAAGAGGTTATCGAATGATTAATGTTCCTTTTTTTTGTCCTACGGTTTATGTCCCTAGCGTCAAGTCAACAGGTTTTACGAAAAAAAAAGACATTTATATTTAAACGGTTCTTTGTCTTTTTTCTTTTGTTGATTTTCTTTCTTTTTATTTGCTTTCCTTTTCTTCATTTTCTGTTTTTCTTTCTCTTTCTTTTTCTATTTATACTTCTTTCTTTTTCGCCTTTTTTCTAACTCATATTTACTCTTCTTCTTCTTCGATTTTACTTTTATTTTTCTTCATTTTTTTCTTGTCCTTCTGCTTCTTTTTATTTATCGCTTCTGTTTGATTCTTTTTTTTTTCTTTCTCTAGTTGTTGTTACCAATGAACAATTTTCTCTTCTTGGTTTTTCTTTGTTTTTAAATGTTTATTTACCTTCTCCTCATTTTCTCTGTCCTTTTTCTTTTTTCCATCTTCTTCTTCTTTTTCTGTCATTTTTTTTCTCTTTTCTACATTTTTATTTTCCTCTACTACTTTTTTTTTATTCGTATTCCTCCTGCTCTTTCTTCCCTGTTACCTATTTTTTCTTCCTAACGCCTATTTTCTTTTTCCTTCACCATCATTCTTAATTCTCTTTCTTTGTTTCTTCTTCTTTTTCTTATGTCATTCTTCCTATTATTTCATTTGTTTTATTATTTCGTATTTCTTCTTCTTTCGTTCACCTTTTTCTTTTTTCGTTCTTCTTCGTGGCATTTCATTCTTCTTCTTGTTTTATCCTTTTTTCTTCTTCTTCGTCTTATTTCACCCTCCTCCTTCTTCTTTCGTTCTTTTTTTTCTTCTTCCGGATCTTCTTATTTCGTTCTTCTTTTTCTTCTTTCCCATTTTCATATTTTGTTCTTCTTTTTCTTCTTCCTCGTCTTCTTATTTCGTTCTTTCTTTTCTTCTTCTTCATTTTCTTATTTCGTTTTTCTCTTTCTTCTTCTTCATCTTCTTATTTCGTTCTTTTTTTTCTTCTTCTTCATCTTCTTATTTCGTTCTTCTTTTTCTTCTTTCCCATTTTCATATTTTTTTTTCTTCTTCTTCATCTTCTTATTTCGTTTTTCTCTTTCTTCTTCTTCATCTTCTTATTTCGTTCTTCTTTTTCTTCTTTCCCATTTTCATATTTCGTTCTTTTTTTTCTTCTTCCTCATCTTCTTATTTCGTTCTTCCTTTTCTTCTTCTTCATCTTCTTATTTCGTTTTTCTTTTTTCTTCTTCCTCATCTTCTTATTTCGTTCTTTCTTTTCTTCTTCTTCATCTTCTTATTTCGTTTTTCTCTTTTTTCTTCTTCATCTTCTTATTTCGTTCTTTTTTTCTTCTTCTTCATCTTCTTATTTCGATTTTCTCTTTCTTCTTCTTCATCTTCTTATTTCGTTCTTCTTTTTCTTCTTTCCCATTTTCATATTTCGTTCTTTTTTTTCTTCTTCCTCATCTTCTTATTTCGTTTTTCTCTTTCTTCTTCTTCATCTTCTTATTTCGTTCTTCTTTTTCTTCTTTCCCATTTTCATATTTCGTTCTTTTTTTTCCTTCCTCCTCATCTTCTTATTTCGTTCTTCCTTTTCTTCTTCTTCATCTTCTTATTTCGTTTTTCTTTTTTCTTCTTCTTCATCTTCTTATTTCGTTCTTTTTTTTCTTCTTCTTCATCTTCTTATTTCGTTTTTCTCTTTCTTCTTCTTCATCTTCTTATTTCGTTCTTCTTTTTCTTCTTTCCCATTTTCATATTTCGTTCTTTTTTTTCTTCTTCTTCATCTTCTTATTTCGTTTTTCTCTTTCTTCTTCTTCATCTTCTTATTTCGTTCTTTTTTTTTCTTTCCCATTTTCATATTTCGTTCTTTTTTCTTCTTATTTCGTTCGTTTTTTTTCTTCTTCTTCATCTTCTTATTTCGTTCTTCTTTTCTTCTTTCCCATTTTCATATTTCGTCTTTTTTTTTCTTCTTCTTCATCTTCTTATTTCGTTCTTCTTTTCTTCTTCTTCATCTTCTTATTTCGTTCTTCTTTTCTTCTTTCCCATTTTCATATTTTCGTTCTTTTTTCTTCTTCCTCATCTTCTTATTTCGTTCTTCTTTCTTTTCTTTCTTCTTATTTCGTTTTTTCTTTTTCTTCTTATTTCGTTTTTTTTTTTTCTTCTTCTTCATCTTCTTATTTCGTTCTTTCTTTTCTTCTTATTCATCTTCTTATTTCGTTTTTTTTTTCTTCTTCTTCATCTTCTTATTTCGTTCTTCTTTTTTCTTCTTCTTCATCTTCTCATTTCGTTCTTTTTTCTTCTTCCCATTTTCATATTTCGTTCTTTTTTTTTCCCATTTTCTTATTTCGTTCTTCTTTTCTTCTTTTTTTCTTATTTCTTCTTTTTTTTCTTCATTTTATTTCGTTTTTTTTTTTTTTTTCTTCTTCTTATTTCGTTCTTCTTATTTCTTCTTCTTCTTATTTTTTTTTTTTCCCATTTTTATTTTTCGTTCTTCATCTTTTTTTCGTTTTTTTTTCTTCTTCTTCATCTTCTTTTTCGTTCTTCTTTTCTTCTTCTTCATCTTCTTATTTCGTTCTTCTTTTTCTTCTTTCCCATTTTCATATTTCGTTCTTTTTTTTCTTCTTCTTCATCTTCTTATTTCGTTCTTCTTTTTCTTCTTCTTCATCTTCTTATTTCGTTCTTCTTTTTCTTCTTTCCCATTTTCATATTTCGTTCTTTTTTTTCTTCTTCTTCATCTTCTTATTTCGTTCTTCTTTTTCTTCTTCTTCATCTTCTTATTTCGTTCTTCTTTTTCTTCTTTCCCATTTTCATATTTCGTTCTTATTTCGTTCTTTTTTCTTCTTTTCATCTTCTTATTTCGTTCTTCTTTTTCTTCTTTCCCATTTTCATATTTCGTTCTTTTTTTTCTTCTTTTTCATCTTCTTATTTCGTTCTTCCTTTTCTTCTTCTTCATCTTCTTATTTCTTTTTTCTTTTTTCTTCTTCCTCATCTTCTTATTTCGTTCTTTCTTTTCTTCTTCTTCTTCTTCATCTTCTTATTTCGTTTTTCTTTTTTCTTCTTCCTCATCTTCTTATTTCGTTCTTTCTTTTCTTCTTCTTCATCTTCTTATTTCGTTCTTTCTTTTCTTCTTCCTCATCTTCTTATTTCGTTCTTCTTTTTCTTCTTCTTCATCTTCTTATTTCGTTTTTCTTTTTCTTCTTCCTCGTCTTCTTATTTCGTTCTTCCTTTTCTTCTTCCTCATCTTCTTATTTCATTTTTTCTTCTTCCTCATTTTCTTATTTTGTTCTTCCTTCTTTTTCATCTTGCTTTGTTCTTCTTTTTCTTCTTTCTCGTCTTCTTGTTTCGCCCTTCTTTTTCTTCTTCTTTTTCTTCTTCTTTAGAGACACAAAATGGTGGAAGTACCGACCACTTACATAAACAAATAGAAAAGCCAACAAAAGTATTCAATTCAAAGACAACTAGGTAATCGTAAGCTGGTTTTTGTGACCTTTAAAGAAAGCCCTTTTCAAAGTATTTGCCTATGTTATTCCTTCACCTAGACTCGCCACCGTACGTATCTCTCCCCAAATCTGACCCCCGCCATTGCTGCAACAGCTGTTCACAGAGATAACAGCGCAACTTGAATACAAAACTACATCTCCTGCTGACCCGGCATGAAAAGTGACACCCCACCACCAATCAAGCACAACAACAAAAGTTTATCGTGTTAACGTTTGGGTATTATAGATTTCAAGCCGAAAGTCGAGCACAAAATTTCTTAAATGTTTCAGCCTTTTCACCTTAACAGTTACAAAAGGCTGCCAACATTTATTAAAAGATAAAATTAATGCGTATCTCCTGCAACTCTTGTGAGCGATCTCCTTGTTTAAGTTGGTGAATGCTGCCATAATCCTTGCCTTCAGTTCATCTTTGTAGTAGTTTTGATGGTCTCTCATTCAACTCTGCCCCACACATAATAATCAAAAGGGTTGCATTCTGGGGAATTAGATGGTCAGATGTAAGGGGTGATGTTGTCGCAGAAATTGTCTGTCAGTCATAACTGCTTGTGTGGCATGGTGCAGTATTTATTAAAAGATAAAATTAAAGCGTTTCATTTTATTAGGGCCGCTTACTCCAATGTTAGTTTCAGATGCTTTTTTCTTTTTACTAATATATATATATATATATATATATATATATATATATATGACACATCAGCAGTGCGCATCCACTACCGAGAATTGAAACCCTTACAGTTATGTTGTCAAGCAAACATCATACCAACTGTTCCACTGGGCCTTGGTGCCGAAGAGATTGCAAATCAGACTCAACAAAGCGCCGCTCACTCACATATTCCGTGGTGGAATCTCTTCGTCACCGAGGTATGATGTTTGCTTGACAACCTAACTGTCAGGGTTTCAATTCTCGGTAGTGGATGCGCACTGCTGATGAGTCCCAAATATAGGACGAAACAGCCGTCCAGTGCTTTCTGCATTCTGTTGAGATTTCTATCAGACTCAATGAATTACTTAAATAAATATATATATATGAAGAAATATAGTCTTAAGATGTGCTATATTTATGGGATAAACTGTAGACTATGATTCTATCATATTCTAAATAATCATATGATTATATATATCATCTTGCTATTTCAAACGTTATTTTAGTGGATAGACTTGTTTGAGTAGATCCCGTGTGTATCTCTGTGTGTATTTTAAACAGTGTGAATTGCGTCAACCGTTATGTGCCCGTCCTGGATATGACAATA